TCTTTTATGGGCCTTGGGCCTTGGGCCTTGGGGCTCTTTAAATTCTAAATATATTTTTAGAATATTCGTTGTTAAGGATAAATATTGGTTGTTAAGGTTACGCTTTGGTTGTGAAGGTTACGGGTTGATTGTTAAGGTTATGCGTTGGTTGTGAATGTTACGCGTTGGTTGTGAAAGTTACACGTTGGTTGTTAATGTTACGCGTTTGTTGTTAAGGATAAGCGCTGGTTGTGAAGATTATGTATTTGTTGTGAATGTTACGGGTTAGTTGTTAAGGTTAAGGGTTGGTTGTTAAGCTTATGGGTTTGTTGTGAATGTTACGCTTTGGTTGTGAAGGTTACGCTTTGGTTGTGAAGTATTTGAATTCTAAAAATATTTTTATAATATTCATTTTTTTTTATTTTTTTAGCTCTTCAATTGCCTAATATTGTGGTTTATGAGAATTCACCTATTACGCGTTAGTTGTTAAGGTTACGGGCCTGTAACTTAACAGTCAACCCGTAACCTTAACAACTAACCTGTAACATTCACAACCAAACTATAACCTTAACAACCAAACCGTAATATTAACAACCAAACCGTAACTTTAACAACTAACCTGTAACCTTAACAACCAACGCGTAACATTAACAATCATAACCTTAACATATCGAGCGCCTTCATCCCGGACACGGTGTCGATCATCCCAACGCTCCTCAGCCTCTTAACCTCAGTGCCCCCAAAAGGCCTATCATGCCCACAAGAGCTCACCACGACCTTGGCCTCCATCACGTTCGGATCCATGCACGACTGAGTGTCGTGGTTCATCGACACCAACACTCAGTTCGTCACGACCTCTCCCCTCACCCCAACCCTCTCGTTCTTAATTATCAAATCCTCCGCCGCCGCCACGTTGAACAGCTTCACGTTGGGCCGAATCAGCAGCTTGCTCATGATGGCGGGGGTGAAGGCGGGCGGCGTGCTTGATGATGACGTAATCCTCCTCTGCCGTCGTAGGGGACCTCGAGCTCGTTGAGGAAGAGGTGGGCGGGCTAGCAGACGACATGACGGAAGAAGAGCTGGCCACCGACCAGCGCCACCGCCGAGGGAACACGGACTGCCTCGATGATGGCGACGCTGATGTCGGGGTTCTTGGAGAGCTCGTAGGTGCAGGAGAGGTTGGCGGATCAGGCACCGCCGCCACGTCGACACGACGTCAGGTGTCGGCGTAGGTGATCTATTGGTCGGTCATGTATCAGCCGTCATCTCGCGGGAGATGATGAATTTTTTGATGGGGCGGAAGCGGAGGGAGGAGAGGTCGTAAGAGGCGGAGATTTGGGGGGCGGAGGATGACGATGATGGGGAGGAGAAAGATTGGGTTTTGAAGGCGGAGGAGAGCTTGAGGCCATGGAAGGAGGAGGAGGAGAGGAGGTTGCGGTCGCTGGGTTTGGAGAGGAAGGAGGTGGTGGCCATGGAGGGTATTGTGGTCTTCACGAATTTAAATCTCTTGGGTTTTGTGTTTTGGGGCTCAGAGAACACAAAGTTTACTTTTGGAAGCAAAGCACCCGTTGAAAAAGTCTTGAGAGGAGGAAGCACGTTTTCTTTCATTCTGGGGGCTAGAAGAATTTTTCCCTTTTTTTAATTGATATATGTCATTAGTATAAGCAAGAACAAGAATGGATATTTTCTCAAGAACTTAAAAAATAAGAAGCAATTCAATATTAGAGGTTGGATTGCAAGGGAGAGTAACAATTTTTTTTTTTTTTTTTTTTGAGTAAAAGAATGGATTACCACAAAGGTAATCCAGCCAGCTAAATTAAACAGGGAGAGTAACAAATTGTTGCAATTTCAAGGGTTTGGAGTTCAAAAAGAAGCTCAAGCTTTTGAAACTTGATAGCGCTCTGCAGCCGCATATAAGACCCCAGAACAAGTAGCTCAAAGACATGAGGGGCTTGATGCCAATTAAAAATTTAGTCAATTACTTAATCTCCAAGGGGACACCACAATATTGTGCAGTTTTTAAGCTCTAATATAGGCTGATGCACTTTGCAATTTTCTTGAGTACATATGTCATCATTTCCTAAACCTGAGAAGAATTGAGATGATGTAGGTTTTTCTCAACTACATATTCTCTGTGCAGATTTCACACATTTACTAGTAGTTTTCCATTAACGGAGAACTACCTAGTTCTGGTGTTTATAGCTGTTTTTTAATACTAAACCAGCGGCGTGGATGCACTCGGAGCACACAAATTTGATGCTGCATTCTCATGGAACTTTCTACAAGCATTTATATGAAGTGGAGTAAATGAAGCATCAGTAAGTGGTTGAGAAGTTAGGACATCTAATCCCACTTTCTTACATGATAACAAGCCCAACCACCAATATTTTCCTCTTTTTAAGCTTAATCACCAGCATTTAACTTCTACCTTTTGTGATTAAGATGTGATGTTGAGTCTCTGGCCCATTGGTTTTACCTTATTATTCTTTAGATGTCTAAGTAAGTCGGAAACTAATAGCTAGCTCGCTGAAAAATGATGACTTGAGAAAACAATTGCATAGAAACAGAAGTGATCTATCTACTAAAAAGACCAATCAAACCGAAAGTGGCCTCCTAGTTTGAGTCACCCGCAACCGAAAGCAAATATATAAGTATATGTCCATTAATTGTTATACTTGTTTAACATAGTTGTTGCTATCTTACAAAAATTGATCTGCTAACTTGAATGAAAACGTACCAAAGGTTTTTGGCTGATTAAGGGCTCGCTCTATGTGTCACTCTCACAGACTCTAAATTTTGTGGGATATATGGCTTTTGGCCCATCACATAATAAACATTAAGAGCTCTAGCTCAATAATAATAATATATATAATCAATTTGTATGTTTTTATGTCAGATAGTTAATTGTAGGGGTAATTGGATATTTAGAGGAGCTTAGGGTCCATTGATCTTCTTTGATGACTAATAGACTGAGGGGAAGAAGATACTTAAGCAAGAAACACTTGTTAGAGGGACGAAGTTTGTTGCTCCGGTGTACCCTTCGACATTCAAGTCAGTGATAGAGTAAGAAATTTACATAATATAGATTTAGGGAGTAATTTAGCAGGCTTTTGCATACGTTCGAATAGTGGGATCGCCCACTATTTATAGAGGTCGGGTTGGTAGAGGCACTTTGATAATTTTAACCGAGTCGGTGTAGTTAGCTTAATCAAACTGCACTTTACACGTGTCGACGATCGGTCGCGTGAGTCATAATGGCTCTGTCCATGGATTAAATGCGATGGTGACTAGGCGGCTAAGCACTATAAGATGAAGCAGATAGGTCGCCTCATGTTTTGAGGCATTTCGCAACGAGTCGGAGTGGAGGACGCCTTTTGTTTTGGATTTCAGACTCTTCAAGTAACTCCCAACCTAAAGACGCCTTTCGTCTCAGACTTGTGTCTTTGAAAGAGGTCGGCGATGCTCACACCGGGGTTAGATCTTTAGATTTGTGGGACTCTGCCAATTAAACATAAGACTTGGCCGCCTCTTGGAAGTTCGTTTTACTTAATGATTTTCAGGGTATAACACACTAACATTGCATGATGTGGCTAAACACCAGAGCACAATGTTGATGCTATATTACTAGGTTGGTAGGACTTTAATAAAAGTCTAAATATCCAATAGGTGTTTGATGATTAACCATCTTATCCTTCAAAAAGGAAACCAAGATGTAGGCATCTTTACATACATCTGAAGATCTAATTAAGTACTGAAACTTATCCATGTTGCAAGAACTAGTTAGGAACGGAGAGAATATAGACACATGGGACTCTATTAGGATTCAACATTATTTGACATGGGGCCCATCTTATCCTCTGACAACTAACAAGACATTCCTATGTTGGATCATGAAACCGAAGGAGCAAATAAGAGCGCTCTTTTATTAACCACGGTAAATGGTTAAATTTTATCTTTCACTTGTCAATCTACATGGAGAAAGATAATTACTCAAGTAAGTGATGCGCAAAAGACTCTGCGTAAAAACCGAATCATGAGTGATGAGTCCCATTATGATAGATACTACGTTGTTTCACACGTACTGATTACACGGAGTTAATTAGGTCAATGTCATGTACAAAGTATTGTTCGATCACACAATAAAATATGAGTTTTTCATTTTATTATAAAATTGATCTATAATTTAAGTCAGTTGGTACTAATAAATTGTGTCTTTCATATATCTATAACCTCAAATCATTAAGAAGTTGATATATGTCAGTCATCATAATCTTAATCACCAATTTAAAATAATATATGTGATGAGTAGGAATGATGTAAGATAAAATGACCAGTTTCTTAAAGTTGCCCTCCCATAATTTTGAAGCCCAATTATCACCCTAACATGTTTGAGGTATTTCAATAATATTTTATTAAAAAAAAAAGGAACTAGTTATAAATACAGTGCAGCTGACGGGATGAGGTATAAACATTAAAACATCACATGGAATGATACAATACCTGCTTAAGGTCATGTTTGACTAATACTTATTTCTTGAAACTTTATAAGTTATTTATTATATATTTTTACTTATTTTATTAGAAAGCAAAGTAGTCTTTTAATATTTATAAATAAACTTTTTCATAATTATACATAAATCGTTTTTTATTTTTTATTTATATATATATCACTTTTAAAGCAGGTTTTTGTTGCAATGATGCACTTCCCAGTCAAATTTGTACAAGAAACTTTCAGCTGTTTTCACGTTGCGTGACGGCAGATGGCGGTAAATTGTGGCTGTTGCCGGCCCACAGATTAACTGGACCCATGCGCCACCAGATCACAGCCCATGGCCCCACACCTGTTTTTATACCCGGACGCCTTTGGAGGCTTCTCGCATCTCACTGATACGTGGGTCCTACTTTAAGCCTCGTGAGCCCCACTACCGCGTGATCATCTGGGCACGGATACTGCTAATTCCCGCCCACGATAAAGACCAACTTCCTCGTTCTCCTTATTATTCTCCGTATTTAACGAAATAAAGAAAAGATGGTCCTTTAAAAAGTGGAAGCGTCCTCAAACGATGTCAAATATTACGCTCTGCCACCGAGTTTAGCCGCCGCTTGGATCCTAGAGTCGGACGCGACGATCAATCTGTGGCTCACCGGAGTGGCGACCGCAACGCCAGGCCACAACTCATCAACTGGGGCCCACACCACATGCTCGCGCATCGACGCCTGTCACGCTCTGCAAACTGCTAGAGATGAAGGATCTAACAGGGGAATTGATCATTTAATTCAGGGGTAATATTGGTAATTTCCTTCAGAAATCGAAGGAAGTGAATGAAACTCGTCATATGAAAACGAGCTTTCTTTTCGAAAAAAAATATATAAATTGGTTTTTTAATCACTAAAAGATAAAGCTGAGCAATAAGAGAGAGGGTGATGTTTCGTCCTCTCGGACTTTAGACCGGACTCTTGGATCTCAAGTTCTCAACCCTCAGTTGCTGATTTTGGATTTAATTCGATCTCCAGAGTTTTATAGAAGGTATCAGCTTCTTATC